TGCAGGCTGGATACTCCTTCACTCTACCTGTTTTTTCCCATTGATTATTGCTCCTTTCTTTCCCCTTTTTATCTCCAACATACCTCCTGTTATATCCTTGTGCAGGCTTGCCCTTTTGATTTGCTATCATTGCTCCCTCACTTGTATCTTCTTGCCTCAAGAGTCTTATTTGCTCTTGAGCTTGGAGTGCATGAACAAGCTCAGTTAAGGAGATCTGAGACATGTCCTTAGAGTCCTCTAGGGAAGAGATTTTGGACTCAAACCTTTCGGGCAAACTTACTAAAACTTTCTCCACCACCCTTCTATCTGTTAACTCTACCCCTAACAATTTGATTTTGTTGACCACATTCATAAGCCTGTCAACATACTCCTTCATTTTCTCTGATTCTTTGTAACACCCCACTTGAGATACGTAGCCATTGTTTATGGTATGGCCTAAAGGGTTACTGAATTGCCTCTAAATGAGTTCGTATATTATTCATGTTGTTTGGTTGGCCCTTGGTTGAGCTTATGTTTTGGGTTTGGTTGAGTGTTTACCCTAGAATTGATCAAGACTTGACAGATTTTGGAGTTGCACTCTTCACCGGGGCGAGGGAGAAGCTTCGCCGCGGCGACGTTGGTTCTATGTTGGCGATGTCGGTTCTGGACTGTTTCGCCGAGGCGACAGAAAGTTCTTTGCTGCGGCGACGGGACGGCAGAAAAGTTCTTGAGGTTTCTAGAGAATTCTCCATAGGGGTAAAATGACCTTTCTACCCTTAATTAGCAGTAAAATTGGGGAGTAAAATGTAAGGAAATTTCATGGAGAATAGTGTAAAATGGGGGTGAGTTTGTAAAGAATTAAAGGATAAAGGTGGAATTTTTAAGAAAGAGTAAGGGCAAAATGGGAATGTTTGTGTATAAGTTGAGCTAAAAAGGGGTTAAGTGTAGAGAATCCCTTGATTTCACCCATTTCCACCGTCTCTTCATCTCCCATTTTCTCTCAATTCCTCACTCAATCTTCCAAGGGATTTTTGAGAGTTTGAGTTGGAATTTGACAAAGAAGTGATCCTAAGCAAGAAGAGGTAAGAATCCCTACTCTAGATATGAGTTTTATTTATGTAAGGGTTAAGTTCTTACTAAATTTATGCTTAGGAAATAAGGGAAAGCTATGGTCCAACAAGAGTAGAGAGCTTTAGTGGAGGCTACTCAAGTATGAGGTAAGTAAATCCCAACCCAAGTTGAGATTTGAGAATTCTTTTGAGTAGAGATTTAGTAGAAATGATGTATGCATGTTTTATGTATGTTATTGAGAAATTGAGTTGAGATATATGTCTACTTGTTGAGAAATAAATTGAGATAAGTATTCATGTTGAGTTGTTGACTACTTTCCCTTTATAAGAAGTGTGGATGTGTGATGAGTTGAGATGAAGTTAGATGAGAATGAGTATATTTTGGGAGTGTTCTTCTATGGAAGGGATTATGCCCATGGAAGGGAGTTTACTTCCAATTTTGGATGATTAAAAAGAGAAATAGAGTTGTAATTAGATAAGAAGTTTGATATGCACATGAGTTGTTTGATGAAATGCCTAAGAGAAGCATGAGAATGAGTTATGAACCCTAATTATTGCAACATTGCATAGTGGCATTTCCTAAGTGCATTAATGAGCATGAACCATCCATATGTATTGAGTGTGCATTGAGAAAGAACTTGAGAAAAAGTTGAGAAAAAGTAGAAAATTACCTTAAGAGTTAAGTTACATTATGATGAGTAGCTAAAGAAAGAGTAGAGGTCTTGTGCACAAGAGTTCAAGAAGAGAATAGAGTAAGTTGTGCGATGGGAAACCTGTGAGTGATGAGTAAAGTCACGAGAGTAGGTGCTTTGTGATCCCCAGTTGTGCCTCCGGTTAAATGAGGTCGTGACCGTCACGTAGAGTAGAACATGAGGTTCCAGCCGTGCCTCTGGTAAGAAGGGGTCGTGACATTTGAGAGAGATAGAGAGAAAGCATGTACACTCACATGGCCAAAGGTTCCGAATCCATGCATGACTAAACCCGATCGGTAGAGAAATAAGCGGAAGCCACGTAGAGTGGTAGCGCCCAGTCGTGCCTCCGGTTAGATGAGGTCGTGACATTTTAATGAGTAAGAATGAGAAAGAACAGAAATAGAAAGTACAGAGATGAGAAAAGCTAAGAGTTAAGCTATATTGAGAAAGGGATGAGCAAACATGAGAAAGAATAAAAGAGAGATAAGAGCATAGAGTAGGTTATGCGATGGGGAACCTGTGAGTAATGGGTAGAGAATTCCCGCATGTACGCCGCATTGAGAGAGTGGCATGAGTATGAGAAAGAGAAGTGGTGTAGCCCATGAGGGTGCATGCGGATGAGGGCTATGCCCGAGAGTACCCGAGAGAGAGATTATTCACTCACACGGCCAAGGGTTCCGAATCCATGCATAACCAAGTCCGATCGGCTAGAATGAGGAGAAGTCACATAGAGCAGGAGTGAGTCCCGGCCGTGCCTCCGGTAAGATGAGGCCGTGACTACTAAAGAGAGTTAACAGAAAAGAATTATGAGAAAGAGAAACAAAAATGAGAATGAGATAATAGAAAGAATTAAAGAATGAGAAAGCTTGAGAAAGAATGAGATAGAAAGAGAGAGAGAGTATGCAAAAGTTTGAGCTAATAAGAATAGAGAGTAAAAGAAAGAAACATGCAGTTCTTTTGTATTAATTGCATGTAGAGCTTATACAGCGAGAACCATGATTTTCCTTCATGGCGAGTATGATGAGAACAAGAGAGAACCATGATTTTCCTTCATGGTGAGTAAGAATAAGGGAAGGAGAACAGAGAATAAGAACAGAGAGAAAGAAAGAAAAAGAGCAGAACAGAGTTAAAGGAGAATAAAAGTATTAGAAAGAAAAAGAAAAACAGTGAGAATTAGAAATAGAAGAACGGTAGAGTAAGGAAAGAACCAAAGAGTGAGTTGTGGGGACAGGTAGTAGAGGATTTACTTACTGAGCATTGTTGTGCTCACCCTACTGTTCTTTCTTGCTTTGCAGGAATTAGGAGTAGCGGTCGGATGGACGTCTAGAAGCGGAGAGTATTGGCACTACTATCCACCAGTTATGATATTTTGTATTAAGTAGCAAGTTTTTAATACAGAGTATTTTGTATATGTGAAGAATTATATTTTATGAGTAAAGAAAAGTTTGAGCCCATTATCTTCCATATGCTATGTATATCTATAATTTGCATAGTATGCATTATCTGAATAGTAGTAGAGAACAGGTGTTACATTCTTTCATCCTCAACAATTCAAACTCTCTTCTCAAGTTTAGCACTTGCATGTTTCTTGTTGTATTGCTTCCCATGTATTCCTCTCTCAACTTGTCCCACGCCTGTTTTGGAGTTTCAAATGTCATGATCCTTGTGAACACAAGGTCGATTACAACTGCATGGATGTGAGATAGGGCTCTTGGTGTCTTGGCAGCTTCCTCTTCATGCATTCTAATCTGGTTCAAAGTAGGATTTGGCCCCAAGGATGCTGGCTGCCTATTCTCCTCTACATACTGCCACAAGCCCTGACCTCGGAGGAAAGCCTTCATTTTTACTGCCCATATGTGATAATGTTCTACATTGAAAATTGGAGGTGACATTAAGGTAGATTATGCAGCCATGTTCAAGTAGATGGTCTGAAACAGGAGAGTTTCTGGATGTCGGGTGGAGTTCTTGAAAATCAGAGTGAAGAGCTGATCTTGTGAGGAAGAGTTTTTAAATTTCTTAGGTTGGCTCTAATACCATTTGTTGGTGTTATGGCCGGAGACTTACAAAGAAAGAAAGGAAAAACTGGAAGAGAAGTGGAATGCATTTCATTACAAAGGACAAAAAATATATACATCAGTGCAACCTAAACTCTCACTGTTATAATAACTACAGTAGAGACAAATTACAAATTTAAATTTGAACTCTAACAAAAGATTAAAGTATACTCAAAATACATCAATTACAGTCTTAATCACACCTAAACCAAGATTCAAAAATTGCACCAAATTGTAGCTCACACACACACCTGCTGCAGCAACAGATTCATTAGCGCCAAAATATTTAAACTGCAAACTGGAACATAATGCATTTCCAGCAAGGTATCACTTCATCAACAGAACTCATTTCTAAATAAAAACGTTGTTTTACAATATAAATGTTCCTGGTTATTTTTTCCAGGCGGGATGTATGGGCAAAATCATATAAATTCCAGGGAGAGTTTCGGTAAGGAATCTTTGAACCCTACTTTCCAAGGCAAGAAATCTTCTGGGTCCATTGGTCTACGACACTGTAACAACAGTTCCCATCATCTAGACCATAAAGCGTCATCATATCTGTCTCTCTGATTTATGATGAACGGCTCAGATACATCTGAGCACGTGCAGTGTGTAAGCTTATCCGATTCGTATTTCGGCGCAAACAACGGTTTCTTTATGTTTTGTTTCGTAAAATCACGCCAAGTTCACTTAAGAGAGAGACTCTACATATGTTTGTGTGTCAAGTGCATTGTAAAAACTGTCCAAAACCGAAACATAAACCACCAAAATCCCGACACGTTTGCAGATTTGTAAGCACCCACCAACCCCTTTATGTCTTTAAAAACTCAAAAACCGAGGAATAGTCCATAAAAAGCGGGAACGATCACCACCTGTCCTTCCTCCTCCCCTTCGCCGCCTTCAGATTTATCAAAATTTCTCCCTTCTCTCAACTGTGTTCCGGCGACTCTTTACGTGTCGTTTGATCCCCTTCTTTCGCCCTTCTCTAATAACTCACCGTATAAGAACTTCCATAACAGAAACTAATTGTATAATAGCGGTTGTATGATAGTTCGCTTAAATCGGAGGACTTTCAGTTTAATGTCTGAATAAAAGATCAAATATATTTTTTCTTTTTGCGAAAATCTTGATATGAGATGTTAAAGAAATAACTTATCTTTATATTATTTATAAGACTCTGTGTTGGTAATTTTTGTTGAATAAAAATGGAGGCAAAAAACGTAGTATTGTCAGCATTGGGGGTGGGTGTGGGGGTGGGGCTAGGATTAGCGTCTGGACAGGCCATGAGCAAATGGGCTGGAAAAGATTTGTCTTCACACGCTATCTCTCCTGAGAGGATGGAGAAAGAATTGCTGCGACAGATTGTTGATGGTAGAGAAAGCAAGGTTACTTTTGATGAATTTCCTTATTATCTCAGGTCAGATTTATTTGCCCTGTAGTTTATTTTCATATTCATTTTTCTTTCTTTTTTTTCAGAGCCTTTATTCAACTTATACGATCTTCTTTTTGAACGGATAAAACTGCCTGGAAATTGATCAAAATGTTTTTGTTATCTTTTTTTCTTGTTTTCTCAGCAGGAAGTCCTGTAGTCAGTTTTCTTCTTTGGTTATGGCTTCGTTTTTGTTCTTGCACTGGTTTCATTTTCCTGGTTTTCTCTTTGTTTTTTGGCGTTGATTATTACGTCTTAGAAACCCCAACTTTGTTATCATTTTTTTTCCCTGCAAGTTAAAACGTAGAACATTCTAAAAGATTATAGCTCTGTTTTTGGTTACTCAACGTTCTTCAGGATTCTTTTTCCACCTTTACTTGTCTCCCTGTTTTGTTTATTTGTCATAGAAACTGCTTTTCTTGTTGCGGAAACTAAAAAGCATAATCTATAATGAATTAAAAAATAAATCTTAAGTTAGATAACTTCACTTACACCGCGAGGCCTCGGGAATGGAAGTATGGACTACAGATTACATTTACAGGGGCACATACGGAATTGTGTTTTGTTGGGATGTTTTGGTCATCCCTTTGTTACGAACCGAAACTTCTGACTGTCACGTGATTCGCTGATTTTTAGGTTTATGCATTGAATTTCTTGGTTTTCTTGCCTGTCTTTTATAATTCTATACATCCTTCTAGTGAAGTATAATATATAATTTTCCTTCCTCATATGGTAATTCCCTGTTACCAATATCAGTTTGGTCGTCAGAGAATTACATCCTCTTCGAAAATAGTTAACGTGAAGACTAGAGATTAACAGCGTTCAAAGACTTCTGTATAAATTCCGCTTGATGTCTTTATTTCTAGATCCACAAAAAAATTGCAAAGATAATGAGAATAATGAATGCAAATTACATTCTTTGATCATAATCTAAAAGCGTAGTCTTTGACTCAGTTTGTTTCGGGCCATCAACCTTTAGTTAAGAAAATTTAGGATGACTGGGGTTAAGTGGGCTACTGCTGATTTTATACAGCAACTGTGCTGAACTTAAGAATCGGGAAAAAAAAATGAAGGGTCTTTATACAAGGACTCCACGATGTAGCCAGTGTCTGAGATATGACAAGAAGACATTTGCAATATTGACTGTATAATGTTGCTGTTGATGATGATGGTCTATTGAATTGATGCATATTCTGATGTCATTGTCTTCTTGATTGCAATAACAGTGAGCAGACTCGAGTATTGCTAACAAGTGCTGCCTATGTCCACTTGAAGCATGCAGAAGTTTCAAAATTTACTAGGAATCTTTCCCCTGCTAGTCGGGCTATATTGCTCTCTGGACCTGCAGGTTGGTTCTCTCTCTCTCTCTCACACACACACACACACACACATATATATCTGAACTGCCATGAATTAATGATATCCTCCCATTCTGTTCTTGAAAATAATAATAATAACAATAACAATCGTTGCATTGTTTCTTGAAGAGCTTTACCAACAAATGCTTGCCAAGGCTTTAGCCCATTTCTTTGAAGCAAAGTTGCTGCTGTTAGATGTAACCGATTTTTCCCTGAAGGTGAGAGTTTGTGCAACTGCATTCTGTTCCTTTGTGTCAATGCTTTTTTTTTTTTCTAATTTCTTTGTAATGATTGAAAGGGATTATTTTGGTGCAGATTCAGAGCAAATATGGTACTACCAACAAAGAATCTGTAAGCTTTTCATATCTTCTTGTGGACTCATTTTTCTTGTTTGTGCATGGAACCTGAAGTTACTTCTCTTGTCATGATGATGCCGATTATTTATTTATGAAAATTTTGAACTGATTAAGTGAAATGAATTATCACTTCAACTTGGTGCTATTTAATTTTTAACTTACATGATATTGTTTTGTAGTCTTTCAAAAGGTCCACTTCAGAGACAACCCTGGAACGACTGTCTGGCCTTTTAGGTTCATTTTCACTCCTTTCTCCGAAGGAGGAACTCAAAGGTATTGTTGAAAAATATTTGCTTTTGGTTTTCAATCACTGGACATCAACTATATAATATTTTATTACCATTTTTTATTGAAACATCATGATTCTTCAATCTACCTAGAGCTTTTATGTAATAAATAATTCTAATTGCAGGCGCATTGCGGAGGCAAGGCAGCAGTGTGGACCTCTCATCATGGTTTGTTAGAATAGTTTTTTTGACTAATCATTGGAAATATGTAGATAGAGTTTCCTAATTTTCAGTTGTTGTTCTTGTTTCAGGGGATTTGAAGGTTCTAGTAATCCTTCACCACTACGTAGGAATGCCTCTGCCTCAGCTAACATCAATAACCTCGCTTCACTAAGCACCCCTGGAAATCCAGGTTTCTTTTCCCTTGAGACTCATATTATTGGAAGTTCTCATTCATAGATGTTAGACATTGTAAATCTGGTGCTACAACCGGAACTGGGGAGGCACTGAATTATGAGAATGTTTTTATAACATGTACCTTATATGATACCAATAAAAATAAGTATGCGTACCTCTTGATAATGATTTGTTGCTTGACTGCATTCCCTTAGAACTTCTCAATGTGGATGTGAAATAAGATCCATTTCCTTTTGAATCTTATGGTTTTTCTACACTTTTTCAGGTTCACTCAAACGCACAAGCAGCTGGTCTTTTGATGAGAAGCTTTTGATACAGTCTCTTTACAAGGTATTTGTCACTTAGGAATACATGGTGCACACACTCAGTTGAGTGAGTGCTCCTGCACATTTTCAATAATTCCTTTATCAGCATTAGAAATGACCTAATCAAGTGTATCTCCATGAATATTGTGATGGGTAAATTTAAATTCTAAATGACTTGCAGGTTTTGGTTTACGTATCGAAAACCAGTCCCATTGTGCTATATCTTAGAGATGTGGAGAAGCTCTTATCTAGATCGCCGAGAATATATAACTTGTTTCAGAAAATGATGAAGAAACTGTCTGGATCAGTGTTAATCCTGGGTTCACATATTGTAGACCTTGCTAATGACTCTAGAGAGGTGGATGAGAGGCTAACTGCTCTTTTCCCTTACAACATTGAGATTAGACCTCCAGAAGATGAAACCCACCTTGTCAGCTGGAAGTCTCAACTGGAGGAGGATATGAGAAAGATCCAAGCTCAAGATAACAGAAACCATATCATGGAAGTGCTTTCAGCAAATGACCTTGATTGCGACGATCTGGACTCAATCAATATGGCAGATACAATTGCTCTTAGCAACTACATAGAAGAGATTGTGGTGTCCGCAATTTCTTATCATCTAATGAATAACAAAGATACTGAGTACAGAAATGGAAAACTGGTTATATCATCGAAGAGGTACGAGTACTATTTTACCGTTTGAATTGGGTGCTTGCACCGTAGATATTGTATGTACTTATATTATGTCTGCTGTGAAACAGTTTGTCCCATGGATTTAGTATATTCCAAGAAGGCAAAGTCAGTGGTAAAGGTATATTGAAGTTGGAAGCAAAAGCTGAACCGTCAAAGGTTTGTTATACTTCTCATTCCCTGTAAGTATGTACATTAATTATTAGATAACTGGTGTGAATCAGAGTATGCTTCTTGTTGATTAATAACAACAGGAAGAAGGACGGCCAGGGGCTGTCGATGTGAAACCAGAAGCAGAAGCAGGAAGTGTGAAACCTGAGAACAAAAGTGAGGTAGAAAAATCGGCTTCAGTGCCAAAGAAAGATGTTGACAATCCAACGCCTGCGGCATCAAAAGCTCCAGTGAGTTTCTCACTTATCTCTTGCCCTTTTTCTTTTTCGCCCTAATATTTTAATGTTATAACTGTGTATGTTTCATGCACAGAACATAACAAAACAAGATTCTAATTGAAATTTTCTGACAAGAATAGGCAGTTAGAAAATGCTTTCATGCGACTCTTGTCTTGTCTTAGACTTCTTCTTGCTTCATAGTTATCTCATGCTTTTTGTTGTTGTTATGACTGATTTTGCTTTAGAAACAAGAGGTTCCTCCAGACAACGAATTTGAGAAGCGCATAAGGCCAGAGGTCATACCAGCGAATGACATTAATGTAACATTTGCTGATATTGGTGCCTTGGATGAGATCAAAGAATCTCTTCAGGAACTAGTGATGCTTCCTCTTCGTCGACCTGACCTCTTCAAAGGTGGGCTCCTAAAGCCTTGCAGGGGAATATTGCTCTTTGGGCCTCCTGGCACGGGGAAGACTATGCTAGCCAAGGCCATTGCCAAGGAGGCTGGAGCAAGCTTCATTAATGTATCCATGTCTACGATCACTTCTAAATGGTTCGGTGAAGATGAGAAAAATGTTCGAGCTCTGTTCACACTGGCATCTAAGGTCTCTCCAACTATTATATTTGTAGATGAAGTGGACAGCATGCTTGGGCAGCGAACAAGAGTTGGGGAGCATGAAGCCATGCGTAAGATAAAAAATGAGTTTATGGCTCACTGGGATGGACTAATGACAAAGCAAGGTGAGCGCATCCTTGTTCTTGCTGCTACCAACAGGCCATTTGACCTTGATGAAGCAATTATTAGGCGTTTTGAGAGAAGGTAATTCCGCTTATTAGTAATTCATCACCTTCCATGTTTTTGTGGTATAATACTAAGCCATTTTTCAAGTAGTATCAGAAGTTTGATAGGAAAGTATATGAGGTACTCATTGGATATCAAACTAAGAACTAATTCTTACTCTATTCAACAGAATTATGGTTGGCCTTCCAGGCGTGGAGAACAGGGAAAAGATTTTGAGAACTCTATTGACCAAAGAAAGAGTGGATGAAGTGCTAGACTTCAAGGAGCTTGCAACTATGACTGAAGGATATACTGGAAGCGACCTTAAGGCATGCTTTACTTGTTCTTCATTTGGATTTATGGTGCTTAATTTTGTGTTACTGATTTGGGATAATATCATTGCTTGAAAACAGAATTTGTGCACAACAGCTGCTTATCGGCCTGTGAGGGAGTTAATACAACAAGAAAGACTGAAGGATTTGGTTAGTGTCCTGTTTTTCCTGAGGGTTTTTTAACGTATTTACGAAGAGGAAATTCCAGGCTATATGTTTTTATGGAACCGATTTTTGATTCTCAAACTTTCCTTCGCAGGAAAAAAAGCAGCGAGCTGCAGAAGGGCAGATTACTAAAGAAGGTTCAGATGTGAAAGAGGAAAGAGTGATTACTCTGAGGCCACTAAACATGGAAGATTTTAGGGTGACAAAGAATCAGGTAAAGCAAAGCATCTTCGACCCTCTTGCTGAAAAATGATTTTACAGAAGAATGCACATTAATATCCTGCTGGTCACCACTATATAGATTGCATGACATTCTCTCAATTACAAATGTAAAAGTTACCTCATTAACACAAATATTTTATTTGCATTGTGGGTTCAGGTTGCAGCTAGTTTTGCTTCTGAGGGATCCATAATGGGTGAGTTGAAGCAATGGAACGAGTTGTATGGAGAAGGGGGTTCGAGGAAGAAGGAGCAGTTATCTTATTTCTTATAAGATATGGAGGTAGAACAAGCAAGAACCATTTACCAGTTTCATGAAGAATGTGTAACAGTATTTATAGCTAAAGCTTTTAAACAAGATTGTGGGGAAAACATGTAATGTAAGAAAAAGTAGGGAAACACCTCCCACGAGATCAGTCTGTAATGTGTCACAATTCTAAAAAACGTATTGTACTATCTTTAGTAGTTTGTTAGGGAGATGTATTGGGCTTGTTTTTAATCTCGGAGATTCATCCTGGAAATTAACAGTGGCAGCCACTGCAATAGCCAGTTGGTTGTTTGTACTTTGTTGGTCGTGCTGCCACTTAAGACACAACTTCAGGCTCAGCTATGTTGTTTGTAATCAACTAAAGATGTTTTAAAGATCTAAGAATTTGATTGATTATCTGTCATCTTTTTCCAGGAACTCGCTGTGAAAAGCCAATCCAAATTCCTCAGCTCAAGGACATTTATGATTGCAATTAGACGGCTAAGCGGTGAGGTGCCGCTTTTAGACATGTACATGAAACGTGCACTCACCTCTATATTTTAAAATGTACTTAAATAAGTTTATAATTACCTCTAGATTGTCGTTATTCTGTTATTTTATTAACCCATTTTGGGACTTCTGATTTCTTCCGGAAGTTATACATTGCCTGTGATTCGGTGCTCTAATTGCGCGCACCGATATGTAATACTGTTCAACATTATTATCATCTGAATCCTGTAAGGCTGTAACATAGGAAATGGGCATTGGAAACTCATCTAGTCCACGGTGCTTATAAGATTAATCTAAACTAGTGATGTTTTTCCGCGTCTTAAAGAAAAGAACTCGGAACAGAAAATAGACAAAAGGCAGGATATGTTAAGAAATAGTATCCAACGAAATGCAACTCACGAGCTCATAACTCTTAAAGCAAGTGCAAAACCATAACAATTTGCGACAGAAATTGGAACATGATGTACAATGCATTAATAGATAACCAACATAATAAAACATCACCATATCACTCGTAGCATATCCAAGGAAAAAGCTACCACATGTAGCAAAAACAAGTAAGGATGAAAACATGGTTGCAGCCAACACCGGATAAAGTTTCATAACACCTAAGATAAAACGCGTCTACCAAATGTATGTCAGAATCTACAGACTGCCATAACTTATACCATTCTAAACCTTCTTCTTATTCTTCAATGGCCCTCTAGGAATCTTACTTAAGACCTTGGCATCAAAGACGGCATATTGCTTCTTGATTTCAATCCATGCCTTCTCAGAAAATGAGTCCACCCGATCCTCATACTTCTCATATATCACAGGCACGGTGTGAAGCAGTACAAAAGCTGTTTTACCAAAACCATTAATTCCACATCAATAACTCATAAACCTTTCCCAAAAAACAAGAAAAATAAATCTTTTTCTTCAATACGAAAGTAAAAATTTCATTACCTATGTAGAACAAGGTCAAGAAATTGCAGTAGCTACCCACAATAGACAAAACCCACAAGCCAGCAATTACCTAATTAATGAAAACAGAATTCAAAGTCAAAATTTCATTATATAAGTAGTTATAAATTATCGCATTAAAATTCATGAAAATTACCAAACTATACAAACCCCATCGATTCATGCAAACCACAAGTACTTAACAAAGCATAACTTACAGATAGGAACTTCTTCAGGTCCCTTCCAGATGCGATGTCCCTCAGAATGGAAAAGGCCCAGTTAATTTCAATCCTAAGCGCAGAGGCTGCTTGTACAACGGGCTTCTCAGGGATACGAAAATCAGGGATGCGAGGAGGAGATCTAATAAAAACAATTAATGCTAAGTGATTCATCTAAACGAAAATATAACAGCAAAACTCTTGAAAAGGCATCAACGGCTTACTTGTTGATGAAAATGGTGGCGTTAGACCACAAGAAAAGCACAGCAAGTGCCACTATCAGGCAGTGGCAGACAAGCGTGAGAAGGTGGTATTCCATCAATTCAAACAGAATCCATGCTGCAGTTGCAGTAGCAAGTACTCCAACCGATATCTTCTTGTTCCTCCACAAGAAAACATCCGCCGCTGTACAAAATGTACCAAAATTAATTCATTTTTAAACAAAGATAAATCAACACAATTTTATCAACATTCACTATGGCCATTTACTTCAATTTTCAGCCACGACAATTAATATTAACCATGAAATCTTCAACGAAATAAATAAATAAAGCAAAAGAAGGTTCTAGTGGGATTTGTTGCGAAAGATAAAAAAGTAACTTTTTTTCCAACCAATCGCATCAACACCGTTAACCATCAAAAAGAGGAAAAATCCCAACTTTTTCAGCTAAAACATAATTTCATCAATCAACAGAAAACAAACTTGATCTATTACGAACCAGATCTACGTAGATCTTTTACTTAAACCAGAAAATTTAATTACCAAAATGAGAAATCACAGTAAAAACCAATTAAAAAAATTAAATAACAAATTTTAGAAATAAACATACGTTTTCCACCACCGAGAACCTTGTGAACAGGCCTCTCTCTTCCAAAAAGACGAAAAACCTTGTTCTTGATGGACGGTGATGGAGGTGATTTCTTGTCATCATCAGAGTCCGACGACGACGATGACGAACCATCATGTCCGTGGATCTTTTCCGTTATCTTATCCATCACCGATTCAGCGGGCGCTTCTTGGCGATTATGCTCAGCGTCAGCCATGGCTCTCTCTCACTCACCGTTTCGAAACCTCAAGTTTCAGAAATAAAAAAAATACTCTCCCAACTCCTAACAAATAAATTTCTAGTTTCCCCTCTCTCACAGTGTGTGTCGGAATAAATAATAAATAGAATTGTAAGTGACGGATTTAATCCTCACCGTCAAACTGAATGTCTTTCATCTCATCCGTTTAGAGGTTCGGATCCGAGACTGCAGGCTTGGAGTAAGACACGGTGGAAACGAGTGGATGATTAACGGCCGTTAGATTTGAGAGGTCTCTTATTGAATTTACTTTAGCATTTATAAACGTGTCCAAAGGAGAAGCGTTTGATGATTTGAATGCACGAGATGACATGTCTAAGCATATCAGTTTTGGACAGGTGGATTTCGTAAAGCCATTGATTCCATTACTAAATTAGGCTGTGTCTGGAAACAAACTTAATTGTTAAGTAAAATAATTAATTACCAGACTGATTAGCAATAACCTCAGGGTAATTGAATTACATAAAAACTGATCAAGTTAAGCCTGTAAATTCAAGGCAGTTGAACTGGGACCGTAATCGATAGGCTTTAAGTAATTGGCAGTTCCTTCATGGGACCTATCAAAACTCAAGTCTGGTCATATCCTTATCCTTCATGGCTAAGACGACTGTTTTCTTCAGAAAGAAGAAAACGGGATTTCCTAATTGTAGACACCCATCACTATATAAAACCAAACACCATGCACATGAAAATTGACGAATTTGCGAACCAACCCCACAAACTATGTGAATGAAACCACCATAGGCCCACAGGAAGAATTTTCTTATGGGTCCGGATAAGGGAATTGATTTCATCAGGTTCTTCTAAGTTAAAACCGACAAATACTTACTGATAATTAAGCAGATATTGACTCTCTAAAAGTATCAGTATGTTTAATCCAAATTCAAAAGCAATAGCAAGAAATGAAACTAGAAAACTGCAGTATGATATTTTGATGGCCCAAAGTCCAGCTTCTCTGTGGACACAAGCACTCATTAAAAAGTGCATTCATGCGTGAGTACAACCAGAAGAAGCAAGAATAGTACACCCAATTCAGGGTAAAGGGGGACAGAAATAGTCCATTTCAAGCCCCAAGGCTAATAGACTTTGATATTTTAACAGGAAAAAGGCAAATGCTACCATAACAAATTGCACCCATCTTGTAATTTTGACCAATAATAAATGATAAACCTAGAGTGATATCTTGTTCTCTATTTGTTGCCAGCTAACTAAAGAGAAAATTCTGCAGTAAAGAGATCTTGAACACAAGCATAGAAGATTAAATCACAGCTGTTTGCTCACGCGAGCAAAAAGTTGGCCAATCCATTATGAATTTGAAAGTGAAGAAATTAAACAAGACTATAAACTAAAGCCACATGCTGATAGTTAGTAATTAATTAAGGAAGATCCTTCTTGTGTGTCCCTACATGGTTTATCACAACCCAATACTATGGCACTCACCTTGTCTCTTTAATCTCATTGCAGAATTCACCTAGAGGGTAACAGAAATGATAGAAATCAAGGAAAGCTGAGGACCAGAGATGAAAATAGTTCATCTTAGAACCCATATATGTTTCAATGCAGAATTGCAGATCTGATTTTGATGAGATGGGTTGAAATTTAAACTTAAATTAACTCAACCAACTTGATTTTGCCAAGTGACAGATGGTCTTACTGGTGGTTGGCTCCTTAGAAGTGAAGTACAAGGAATATACGTTCTAGAAAATAATCAAGACTGTGACTGACTTTAAAAACAAGGAAAGCATAATCAGTCACTGTTAGCTAAACGATTTTGAGGTATTCCATAAGCTAAAGAAGAAGAAAAGCAGAAGATAGCTTATGGTAAATAGCAATAGAGGATGTAATGTGCAAAATATGTCAATGGTTATGAGAAATGACAAATTCCCTTCATTCTAGTGATCTTCTTTCTAGTATCTACAGGCAAAAATCCAAAAAATGATGGTTTATATGTGCTGTATCTGTGTAGTCAATTAACCAAGTGAGTGGTATGCATCATTTTGACTTGGTTCTCAGTGTTAATATGTAGATCTACAGGAAGCTGAGAAAACAAATCCTGCTGAGCAAGGAGACACAGCATCATCAAACTGACAGAGACCAAAATGATGGTTTAAATCTGCTGTATATCTGTAGTCTTTAACTGGAAATAATTGTAGGATCTATATTATGTTAAATTCATAGTCAATTTCAGGGTGGGTATTACTCCTGAGTCTCCAAAAAAAGTTGGAGACAGAAATCTCGATAAAAAAAACTCATAGCGGTTTTCTAAGCAACATTAGCGCATTCCAGGTGTCACAAAGTTCCAGTACAAGGTTACTCCATCAGAGAAAGCAATTCTACCCAAGAGGACTAAGTTTTCAACAGTTTCCAAAGATTCACAGCAACTCTACGGACTGCAGAAGAATCTTACTCATTCTCAAATACTTCTCAGACTTCTCATATTCCGCAATGCTACATAACATGATTTTTCAAAGCAATTATTGGACTTGCATCCAACTCCAATAGATTCCCTCACCAACATCTTTTGTACATATGTTCATTTTCAAATATTTGAAGGAAATCCTTGTTGAGGCAAAGAGGAAAAGTTATCCCCGTGTCAGTTAGCTTTCAAAACACTCTTGGGGATTCAGTTTGATAAATGAAGGCTGTTTTGTTTACTTTGCAATTCATTGATTGTCTACCAAAATAAATTTCGACTTCAAAATTTCAGAAGCATGATAGCATCAACTTACTTGAACATTTCCCATTCAATTCCATGAACAAGATAATTTCAAATAAACACACCGTGACAGGCGTCTGTAAGGTGTAGTCAAGCTATAAGCTCTTTTACCCAAACAAATCTTGCTGACAAATAAATCACTAAAATTACCAATACTGGAATCTCACAGCAAAACACATCATTTGAATATCTCTATGCTTTCCATGCCTGTGTCAATATGCAAACTTCTTGGCCATTAATCACATAGATGTTAAATCCAAGAGAATTAACCCATACATTTGCCATGGTTTTTCAGCAATCAAATAGAACTCTAGCATGGTATAGATAACATAAGAAAACATATGATAAATGAAATGGGCAAACAAAAAGCAGAAGCCACAGACATAAACAAATATAAACACAGGGATAAAAGCAAGCGTTGCAGTAAGGACTAATAAACAAAGAAAAGCTTAGTGGGGTTGTATGGAGATTACCTCATTTGACAGAGAAGAAAAGAAAGATAACTTTGAGCTGAATTTCCCATATATCAGAGCCTGGGGGGAATATGGAAAACTTCAGTTTTTGCTTCAACTTCAACGATTGGTGGAGGAAGCCATGGAGTCAACTAAAACTCCAAGCACTGTTTTTTCTCTTGACAAAATTACCCATATAAGGTGCTTGTAATTTACCGGGTATATAGTCAGAGTTTTGTCTTGAAAGGGTAATTGAGTCATTCAAACAATGGTGTTTTAGTATGGTTAGATTTGGATTTCGAGATGAGTCGTGCCAGCATATTAAAACGAATATGCGCTGGGTACCATGTGCGTCTGATGTTCTCCTTTGTTTCTATACGCATCAACTCCCTTAATGGGCCGGGCCAACCCTTTCGGCCTATTTCGTAATGGGGATGCTTACTGGACTAGGCCTGTAACTGTGAGAGGCCCGTGTTTTCTGTCTTTATTAGAAGCGAGCTGTTTGGAAATAAGAATAGGAATAACCATACAAACATACAACTCCTAAAACCCTCATTTTTGCTTTGTCCAGTAAACCTCACACTCGATACAAGACCTCCAGAAACCTCTGTTAACCCTCTCGCTGACACAACGATGTTGGTCCGTCGCTCTGCAGTCACCAAAACCCTAAACCTCCAACTCCGCTTCTTCTCTCAGGCCGCGTCCTCCGTAACCCACGAGGACCCTTTAGCTCCACTTACCTATCTCGACGGGCTCCCTAGACCCGACCCGAAATACGCCGAAACCATACTCGCAATACCTCGAGCTGCCTCCGGCTCCAACATTTCGGCCAAAGAGAGGAAGGCGGGTCGAGTCCCCAGCATAGTTTTTGAACAAGAGGACGGTCAACACGGAGGCAATAAACGGCTCATTTCGGTTCAGACTAATCAGATCAAGAAGCTGGTTACTCAGCTGGGGCGGTCTTTTTTTCTATCCAGATTATTTGATCTTGAAGTCCGACCTGAGTTTGAGTCAGATGAGATCATTGAGAAAGTCCGGGTCTTGCCTAGAAAGGTATGGTTCATTGGTTGTTTTTTGCTTTGGGGTTTTGGTTAAGTGATATCTTAATTACTCTTTTTTTCGTCAATGTTGTTAAAATGTTTCAGATACATTTAAACCCTGTCACGGATTTGCCGCTTAATGTGACATTTCTAAGGGCACCTTCGAGTGCTTTATTGAAGGTTAGTGTTCCACTTGTTTACAGAGGAGAGGATGTGTCTCCGGGGCTAAGAAAAGGTAAGCGTCATTAATTTAATTTATTTTTGAGTTCGTAGACAACTTGTTATTAATCTATGTGGTTTGTTTGTTTTAATTGCATTCTAAGTATAACTGATGTGGGTTATTAGAACTTTAATGAGTTTAAAAATAGAATAGGGCACCTATGTTATAGGCTGCAGAGCAGAACATGAAGCTTTAGTTCCAATTTTAGAGAGTAATTTTTCTGATATAGTTTGATCCTTTATGGTATTGAGTTTCATTGTGTAATTGATCCTGAATGTACATTGCACATTTCTGATGCTTCCAGTTTTATGCATGAAGATAAGTTTGCGTGATTGTATACTTCAATTCAGCGGAAAACCAAGTTAAAAAAGCGACTTTGTACTTCCATTTGAAAATTTCTTAGTTGTGTATGATTCATTTGTTGAGGTTTTAACCCGAATAAGTTGAATCTTGAGGAAGTTTTAGAAAGTTGATGGAAAAATCTTAAGCAAGGATATGCATGGTTTGATTTGTAAACTTGTCTTGTTATATGAGCATCTGGGAATAGATTTATGTTATGAAAAGTGTAATCATCATTGACAAAAAGCATGGCGTATACCATATATTTTTGTGTCCTAAAAAATCTCTTCTTTCTGGAGAAATTCTGTCTCTTCCTCTGTGCTCTTAATGCAAATTTCTCCTATACTTGTCTACTTTCAGTGTTCAGCTTATTCCATTTCTTCTGGACTTCTTCATTTAACATCAAACATTTTTCTGCCTTTGCAAAAAGCTTACAGAATGTGGTTTTTATCAGAACCTTTAGAAGTCTGGTGAGTATTGGGCAGTGTTTTAAAACCTGGCCCGGCCCGCTCGACCGGGACCGAGGGCTTTCACTAGGCCGAGTTACCCATTTGCCTATTCACCAGAAACCCTAGAAATTGGGATGATGATCGGCGAACAATTGAAGGTTAGGATGTTGGGGCTTTTGAAGAGGAACTGTTGGTGAGTGCAATGGTGGCAACGAAGGTGATTTTCGGTATGTGAATTGACCAGAAATCGAAAAAAATGGGCGGCAGCAACTGCGGGCTTTTGCTGGTGATTGGTGAGGCAAACAGGGGTTGGGTGAGATGGGTTTTGGTTAGGAGGCAGAGGAGAGTATTTTCGTGATGATGAGGTGAGTTGTCAACGTTGACAGTGGTGAGATCTAGCCTGGAATGTCCATGCTGGTGTCGGTAAGATCTGGCCGAAATCGAATTTCGGCCCGATCTTGGGTACATTTTCTAGGGAATGGGCTCAAGGGATGATTGGGATTGCATTTGTTGTGTCATCGCCGCCAACCAGTTGACCGCCGATTTGAATTTGGGGTGTGTTTGCTAAATTTCAAACCTGTAGGGAGTTATCTGTAATTTTCCGGGGTGTATTTGCTGAATTTTAAACTTTTTGACATCCAGTTTGACCCACCGGTCAACTGAAGACACGGCAACTTTGTTTGGCTTCTCCCCAGGTTGGTTATTAAAACATTTGTATTGGGAGTGTTTATGAGCAATTAGAATGTCATGGAAATGGAACTTAATAACTGTTTTTTCAACGTTTAAGTTTATGAACTTAGTATAAATACTAAGCTAGTTAAGCAATGTTGGGTACTTAATATGGTTGTACTGTACATTGGGTCATGTCATGAGTGTGTTAGCAACATAGGCACTAAGACAAGGAAGAGTTGTAAGTTCAAGATAGTTTCTTAGTTAGGACTTCAGATGTTGCCAAGTTCCATTGACCTTAGCAAGTATGCTGTTATATCTAATAGTGTAATCTTCTCCTTAGATGATTGAGTCGGCAATCTTCTTGCCTGCTGCTGCTTGATTACTCTTATTTAAGTTCTTACAAGTTTGCAAATCCTTGATTTAGTTCTGTAGACTTAAAATGCATTTTATTTATGTTTGTTTTATATGATCTGTGGAGACTTAATTGTTCTTTGTTATTTTTGTAAACATCACAGGGGCTTATTTTAATACCATCAAGAGGACTGTTAAGTTCCTTTGCCCAGCAGACATCGTACCTCCTTATATTGATGTGGATCTGAGTGAGTTGGATTTGGGGCAGAAATTGCTCATGGGGGATCTTAAGGTTCATCCAGCATTAAAACTGGTTCAGTCGAAGGACCTGCCTGTTTGTAAGGTAATGGGAGTCAGATCTTCTGATCAGAAGAGTTAACCTTTAGTTCAGATTCTGTGGGCCTACAGTTAAAATTAGGCCCGGTTTCAAAAGGGCGATGCCACAATGGCCAGTGAAGATATGTGTTTTCATTTGTTCATTAGGTAGTCATAATTATGTAATTCCAGTGGAGGACAGATCATGAATCTAGATTGACTCTTTCTCCCTTTTGAGTAAGATTTTGATGGAGGCCAGCATATATTGATTGAGCATTTTTCACTTAATAATACAGTTAGTGATTCCTTTCTGTTTCCTTTTAATCTTTCTACCATGCCCACTTAAACAATGAGATGCATTGTTCCCTTTGAATGCTTGTTTAAGAAATTGGAAATTAACCATTCCTACAGTAAGCATGCATTGCTAATCGAGACGTGCTTTTCTAGGGGTTACCAATTGAAGTTCTCTTAGACAAAAGTTTGCTGAAAATTGAGATCCCCATAATCCATAATTGATGTAATACTGGAAATATGATGTAAAGTTGCTTTATTTTCTTTTGGACTCTTCTGAGGATTGAAAGTGATATGTAAGTAATTGGTCACTTTTCATGCATTTTTTTTTTTTCAGTCCATCTTAAATGACAGCGTTGTAATAGTTCCCTGTTAAATAAATGGGATGTATTTAATTTTTTTAATTTTTATTTTCAATAGTGTAATTAAAAAAAAAAAGAGTTACAGTGAGACTGAATATCCATCATTTATGACAAAAGCTTTGAACCCATTCAAGATGATCTTGTCTTACTATAAGAGAGGCATAAATTTCATCATATCTTTGCTTCAACGACGAAGAAATCAGGTTAAGATGTGAAGCACTCTTGAATTATCAACAATGGCTGCTTCGATAGTTTCAAATTAAATGTCTCTTCAGCTTCTTGCACTAGTCAAGATAGTGGTTGGCTCCCGTTTCTTTTCATTACCTACTACCTGCACTACCAAAAAATCCATTCGCCATTAAGACAAACCGAACAATAATCCAATTTATTACATCTTTGCTTTGTACATTAAAACTTAAAAAATTCATATCATTAATTGTTGTTTACTAACCAGAAATGCATCATTTATTACTACTTACTAACGTACGATTTGGCTTGGTTAGCTCAAACTCAGCAGTTCATTTCATTAATTGTTAAGTACTTGCATACACCTGTACTAGATACGTTCAAATCCCTAGATATAATGGCTGTTTATTTAAGATAATTCCTTTTTAAAATAAAAAGATACAAAAACCAAAGATAAAGATAAAAAGAATCTCAAAATTATATATTCTTCAAGCTTGTGAAAATCTAAGATAAAGATGAAAACAAATTAATGATGAAATTTTGTGGGCGAGTTTGTTGCCTAAGTCCTATAAATTCATGTTCAAGTTCCAAGGTTGTAGCAAGTCCACCGATGGAGAAAATGCTGTTGAAAACTTTACAAGCCATCTTTCTTTTCTCACTGCTTTACTTTGCAATACCTTCTTTTTCCTATCCTCTCTCAACAAGAGGCAGATGGATTATCGATGAAGAAACCGGGCAACGAGTGAAGCTATCATGTGTCAACTGGGCATCACATTTGGAACCCATGATAGCCGAGGGCCTCGACAAGCAGCCACTCAGTAAGATCGTGGCTCAGATAGTTCAAAACAAATTCAACTGTGTCCGACTCACGTGGCCAACCTTCTTGTTCACTCGTGAAATTTTCGGTTCACGGACTGTCACCTACTCTTTTGATTCTTTGGATTTGAATGAGGCCAAGGCTGGCTTCGCTAAAAACAATCCTGCTCTCTTGAACATGACTGTAATTCAAGTCTATGATGCGGTGGTTGATGAACTCGGTGCACAAGGTGTCATGGTTTTGCTTGATAACCATGTTAGTCAGCCCAAGTGGTGCTGTAATAACGATGATGGAAATGGCTTCTTTGGAGACACCCATTTTAATCCTGATGAATGGGTAAAGGGTTTGGTTACGGTGGCCACACATTTTAAGCATAGAAAACAGGTACGTCATGAATGTTATATTTACAAACTACCTCTAAAATGATCTTTTCATTTCTAGTTTTTGTTCATCTAGAAAAACGTTTAATGAAATATTATTTTCTGAAGGTGGTCTCTATCAGCACGCGAAATGAACCACATGGTGCAAGAGAAAATGAAAATGATTGGCTGAAATATATTGGTATAGGAGCAATAATGATTCACAGGGCAAACCCGCATGTTCTTGTACCCGTTTCAGGGATAAAATACAGCAGAGATTTCAGCTTCTTGAAGGAGAAGCCTTTTTTATCGAACAATTTAGATAACAAGTTGGTTTATGAGGCGCATTGGTATAAATTTAGTGAAGAACACTCTGACATTTGGGACGTGCAGCCATTGAATAGAGTCTGTGCTGAAAGTAGTTTATATATGATGGACCATTCAGCTTTTCTCACTGATGGTGATAACCCAGTTCCTCTTTTTCTGGGTGAGTTTGGCCTTAACCAACAAGATCTTACTGACTCTGAACGGCGTTACATGTCTTGCATTAAGGCTTTCATTGCTGAGAGAGACTTTGATTGGGGGTTGTGGGCTTTGCAAGGAGGCTATTATTTAAGGGAAGGTAAAACAGGGACTGAGGAGACATTTGGAGTGCTTAATGGCAACTGGGACCAGCTCCGGAATCCTAAATTTATAGAAAGCCTTCATTTTCTACAAGGAAAGATTCAAGGTAAGAACAATAATTAATAATATAAACCATTCTAATACTTCATAAATTCTCATAGAATTGTATTTTTAACTCATTGTTTCTTTCAGACCCATTTTCAAACCAGTCAACCTCCTATGTAATGTATCATCCATTGAGTGGCAATCCAGTTCATGTAAATGGAAAAAATGAATTATATGTTACCAATAGTAGCGTGTGGAGCAGGTGGAGTCACGATGGAAATGGAACTCCAATCAGGTTGATGGACAGTGCTCAATGCCTTAAAGTTGTGGGTGATGGACTTGAACCAATTCTCTCAACCGACTGCTCCACCCAACAATCTGCATGGTCGGAAGTCTCACATTCCAAGCTTCAATTAGCAGCTAAAGATGTAAATGGGGACTTATTATGCTTGGACAAGAAATCTCCCGATTCTTCTCAAATTTTGACTACAAAGTGCATTTGTATAGAAGATGATGATTCTAGCTGCCTGGATGATCCACAAAGCCAATGGTTTAAGCTCAGTAGGACAAATATAAAGTAATTAGGCATTTACATGTTTCTGTTCTATGGTTATTTAATGCTATTTTTATAATATAAGATAACCCATTAGTGATCTATTCAATATATATTATCACATATTTGCCATTTTTATTTCTTTGTTTTGACCAATTGCAAAGCATTGGGCTTATGGGCCTGGGTAGTCCATATCTTCTGAAAAATGTTCTTAAGCAAGCTGTCTTTCCTGCCAAGAAAAGAATTGGCTAGGGCATAGAATCCAAAAGTGTCAAAATTGGGACCAAATAATCAAAAACCAATTTCAGAAGAGTCAAGATTTACGAGAACTAATCACCACTGGATGGTCTAGCGGTCAATTAGGATTCTACTCAAAAGATATTAAATTCGATCTACTTGGTTTGCTAATAGGGGTACCCATTAAGGGAATTTACTCGACTGTCAACTTCAAGACCCTGGAAGATTAGTTAAAGTTTGCGCAAGTTAACCTGAACAACTTCTATTACCCAAAAAAAAAAAAAGATTTATGGGGACCATAAACAACTTAGCTTGAGCAAACGTGTTGTTTTGTGTGTCAAATGCCCTATTGTGCTGGTTGTACTATGGAACCCAAAAAAAGAAAAAAAAGAAAAAAAAAAACTCCATATTATTCTAACATAAAGCACAAAGTACCAAAAAAATTATGGAGCCGGACCTCGAAAACTATTATTGCGGCTCCAAACCATAAAAAGGAAGAGGGAGTCTCATTGTTGTCGACAATTAAAAAAAGATGAATAAAGAAGAGAAAAGAAAAGTATTAATGGGCCATCGTTGATCCTAAAAAGAAAGTAAATCCCACAAATAATACCGAACTTGTGATTACAATAATGATGATTTTCATACGAGTTTTTATCTAAGACAAAAATAATATTCTTTTCAGAACATTCGTTTTTATTTAATGTCCAATGTTTGTATGAATTGTGGGGCAGATTTCTGGACTTTAAAAAATTCTCTACCTATAAACAAGACAAACAGTTGAAATTAACATCTGTTAATGGGAGGAGATGGAAAAGGTTTTCTCATTATAATAACTTAACTTGGTCTTTCTGCACAGAGAATCCAAGGTTATTAATTAATGAATGCAGTAATCCTGTTATCAAATTCTGTCTTGACGCAGTTCATTGGAACATGTAAAGGCTTGTTTAATTGTTATGTAATTTTTTAAGGCGAAGGACACTTTCCCACCCAACATTTGGCGAAACTTTAAGTTTCAAAATGTTACTTTCCCACCTTTGGTTAGATAAGACGAAAATATTTTAAAATAATTTATTTTTTAATTAATTTATTATAAATTAAAATTTAATTAAGTTAAAATCTTTATTCGGTTATTTATTAGTTTAAGTGTAAAATATATTTTTTCCTTTATCTATTTAATTAATTAAGAACATTGGTTCTTTATGTTAATTAGTAAAAATAAAAAACATTATATTATGAAAAACAATATAAATTTAGTAGATTATTGAATAATAGTGATAGATATTAATGATATTATAAATAAATAAATATTATAGGTCCGTTTGGTTTGTTATTTTAGATAAGATTTTGGAAATAGTATTGGCTAGTTGAGTAGGGTGATTATTATGAAGTAAAATTTAAAAATTAATAAAAACCCCATAGGTTTGCTAATTTAACTAAACACCCAAATATATAAAATTTTTGTAAAATGACAAAAACATCCCCATCCATCCACAATGCCATATTTCGGCCACCATTGTCGGAATCTAGCGTTATGACGCAGATCGGTCAGATCTGACCGATCGTGCATCGATCTGACATTTTTCGGCCAGATCTAGCCGTCAACAGCCTCAAAATGCCAGATCTGGCTGTCAGAGATGGCCAAAGAGATGGCCTTTTCCGACCAAATCGACGAATTACTGGCCAGTTTCGGTCATTCTTACGCCGTTGTGACAGATTCCAGCCACCATCGACGATGGTTGCCAAAATTTGGCAACTATGGATAAGTGTTTTTGTTAATTTTTAAACTTTTTTTAGAGGTGTTTAATTAAATTAATAAATTTAAAGGGTCTAAAAGTAATTAAATAAAATATAATAGTATTTCCAAAATAATGAAACAAACAGTAATTTTGAGAATATGGTCATTTAACTTTTTAAAACAATTTTATAACATTACTCTAACTTGTTAGGAAGAACTAACTATTTTTTCTTTTTTTGAATTTTTAATATTTGACTTTTTGGCTTATTAAAAAATTATAAAATCAAATATTTAAGAATATTTTTGTCTTTTTAGTAAAACATTAACAGAAAAAATAACAGAACCTAACAAAGGGTGAGAAAGTGTAATTTTAAAACTTGAAGGGTGGGAAAGTGTTGTTTCACCGAACCTCGGGTGGGAAAATGTTGTTCTCCCAATTTTTTAAGGCCAGTTGTTGCATGGTTAAGCCCAAATTGTTGCAGAAGGCTTAAATTGGGAAGTTAGTGAATAGAGTCTTTGACTTGCTTTTTGAAAGAAGGCTACACTTTAGAAAAGTTTCAAAGCATGCATATAGACCTGCCCACTTTTACTTCTTTTTAATTAATTAAAACTTTAGTTTATATATGGTAAAGTTAAAGATTATATACCATAACCAGAAAACTTCAAGCTCTGATGTGCATATATATCATGATTGATAAATTGGTAAAAGAATAGTCTATGAAGGGTGGGTAAGGATTTCGAATCTGTACATACAGTGTCAATTAATGGTGTTTTTATTGATCAGCAGGCAGGCTTTTTCATTTTTCAAACTGACTGGCTCTATTATTGTGCCAATGGGGTCTTTTCTGAGGAGGACATGATTGAAACCAGGGCTGCTGCATCTCTTTTTTACATCAAAACTTGAATTAGCATTTCACCAACCAGGGAACAAAATAATTTCTAAAAACCATCACTCATTTAATCAAACACTAAAACCAAGTTGCTGTTTGTATTAATATTCAATAATCTTAATCTTAAATATCTTTATCTTATTATGGCGATGTAAGTTGAGGTCTCAATTCTTGGGAGTCTTTTATCACTTATCTTTAGCGTTAGACGCTTAATGGAAAGGGTCCACTCTTGTTAATGAAAGCCATGGTGAATTGTTGGAGTTTAAGGGTGTTGATCAGTCACTTTTCTGGGTACCCTATTAGTATACTCGTGGGAAGTTAGATGATCATGAGTTTGTCCAGTCCACTCATCAGACGTTTCCTATCAATTAATAATATCTCACTCAAGAATCAAGAAAACCTTTTTGAAATGGGATACATAGAAAGTACAGATATACATTTTTAAAACGAAAGCAAAGAATCAGTCATTATCTTTCAAGTGTGGACCGTTTCTCTGGTTTGATTATAACATTTCTGTAATGGAACTGAAACTCTTCAATTTCAAGTCAAAACTTTATGAAATCAGGAACTAAAACTAGTTACAGGTCCCCCCCACCTGCATGTGCCTACTGTGAATGTATTAAGCAAATATTTTTTAGATGCCCATTTCAACCGTAGTATTTTTTTCCAAGTAAAGTAAATACAAGTAGTATAAATATACGGTTGAAGTCGTAGAGTGTACATGTACATAGTACTTGCCCTGTTGCCCAGTTATTATTACTGTATCGTCAGTCTGAAACTTATATCTGACTCGCAGACTGCTCTCACATGACTGACCTGCAACCCCGTATTCAAAACCAGACAAATTAAAAGCGAAACCTGGAGCCTCAACCTCCTTTCCTTCTCTCTATCTAAATAGCTTTACCTAATTGCCCTTCTGGTCTCTGGTGCTGAGTCTGCTGGCTCTTTCGTCTGTCACCCATTTTCAGTAGTACTAGTCTGCACTCTGCATTAAGCCGAGGCCCTCCGAAACCCAGTCTTTTTATTTTTTTTATTTTTTTTTTTAACTTACTTTCCCTTTTACCCTCTCTAAAAAGCAACTACCAGCCCAACACTTTCCTCACTTTCTCACTCATTATTATTCTGGCTCTCCCAACCATGGAAGCTTTCAGCTTACTCAAGTACTGGAGAGGTGGTGGCGGTGGTGGTACTGGTGGTGCTGCTGCTACTGCTCTTGTTAGTGGCGGTGTTGCCGGTTCTGGTGATAGTGGTTGTGGTGGTGCTAATTTACGAACCACCGCCACTATAGTCACCGCCGTTACTCATCAGGCTACAGAGACTGACGATGATGACGACGATGATGGTCCCTTTTTTGACTTGGAGTTTGCGGTTCAAGACGAGGCTGAAGAAGAGGAAGAGGAAGAGGAGGAGGAGGAGGAGGGTAATGATGCCAAAAATGATGAAGAGAACGAAAACGACGACGTTGACTCTGAAGACGATGATGGTAACGAAGTGGAAGTGGAAGAGGAGAGTGAGTTTAAATTCACGATTTCTTCAAACTCAAGCGGCAGCAACAACGACAACGAGCGTACGGATCCTAACCTCACTCTCTCTCCATCTGATGATTTGTTCTTTAAAGGCAGACTCGTGCCCATTGAGCCTTCTTCACTTGTGTTCAATTCAAACGAGCCTAATTCCAAGCCCCAATTCCCAGTCTCTCTGTTGAAATCCGCCACTAAATTTCGAGTCTTTATGTTAGGCTTCAAGAAATCGAAACAGCAAAACAACGTTTCTGAAAAAACAGAAGCAAATAATGGATCTGTTGCCACTGCCGCTGCTGATTCTACTAGTACTACTACCACTCCCAAGCAGCAACAGAAGCCAGAAACAGAAAAAGAAAAACAAAGCAAGTTTTTCACTGTGAAATTCAAAGTGGAGGAAGTTCCTATTGTGTCCATGTTCACCAGAGACAACAGTAGTTCAAGAAAGTCACTGAAAACACAGAGTGTTGAAGATTCAACGACTTCTGACGAGAAGAAATTTTCCAAAGATGTCATGCAGAAATACTTGAAAAAGGTTAAGCCTCTTTACATTCGCGTCTCCAAACGTTACGGGGACAAATTGAAATTCTCAGGTCAGTTAAACTTAGGGGGCTCCGTGGCCAACAAATCCGTTCAGTCACCACCGTCAACGGCCGGTCAAAAGTCAAATCCTCCTAAAGTAACTGCTGAGAAGAGAGAGACTGAGACAGAGGCTAGTGAAAGTCAGGTCAAAAGTCAAAAGCAAGCAAATATTCCGGAAAGGCTGAGAGTTGTGTGTAAGCATTTGGGGAAAAGCCGATCGGCTTCGTCTGCAGTAGCCGCGGCGCCAGCCGCGCCTGTTGTTTCCAGGAGAGATGATTCGCTGCTGCAGCAACAGGATGGAATTCAAAGCGCCATCTTACATTGCAAAAGATCCTTCAATGCCTCTAGAGGTAAATCACTAAAAAAAAATAAAAAACCCAGTTCCATATTCTTTTTAAAATGTATTTTTCTTCTGAAAATTAAACTTAGATTATCTATTTTGTTTACAGATTCGGAGTCTTCTTTGTTACCAAGATCTGTAAGTGACCCGTCTCATCAGAAATCAGCCATTGAAGGGAAAGAAGAGAGCTTTGAGGGCTAAACCAAAAAAGCGGGAAATCTGGTTCCAAACTGATATTAATATCTCCCATTGATATCATTATCAGTAGTGCAGTGTATCTTGTTCTCTGTAAATTAATCTAGTTATAAATTTTATTTTATTTTATTTTTGTTCAAGGACAAGTTCTAGGTAGGGTAATTATAATAGTAGTTTGGAACTTTGGATGTTTAGTGATGATGACTGGTAAGTACTGAGTAGATGAAAACTCGGCTAAAATTTCTCTCACAAGTCACTACTGCCAGTACTAATAGTATTGTAAAGCTCATGTATCTTTCTCTCTCTGAAAGTGAAACAAGAATCAGATCTTTGTATTTATCTAAGCACCTGCGTTCCCATATCAGTACAGTGATTTGATTCATGTTTGTTCAAATAATGTGGGTTTAAGAGGGTTGATTGGATCCTTGTTTATGGGTAGTCGAGCTGGTTTAGGATTAATCAGTGTCTTTAATGGTCAGCGAAGTTGGGAAAGCGGAGACCAGAACAGTAAAAAGAAGATTTTCTCTTTTGTTAAAGTAAGTGAGAGAACGATGTAAAAGATGGGTGAGTCAGAGTAGAGGAGTGGGATGCCCTGAACCTGAACCACTCTCTGATTCTCTCAATTGTCAAATTTTTACAGTGAAATCAACACGCAAGAAAGGCTCCCTATGAGTTATTATTTTTATGTTTAGGCTGTGTAGGTTGTATATATGAATGAATGATCAATGGTCATATCATCTCTTCGGAAATCGGGACAAGTTATTGATTTTGATGAGATGATGCCATCCAAATTAACAAGTAACTTCAGAGATTCAATTTGTCTCCTTGTGGCAGCGCTTGGGGCCTACAAAACCGCTGCTACCTTGCTATTCTGCTACGTTATGGCTAGGCCTTTTGTCGTTTTAGTCACTCATCTTATTCTTCTTACTGTCAATTTTTAAATGGGTTTTTTTTCTTGCCAAAGTTACTTTGAACATGCTTCATTGTTTCCCTTTTCCCTCAAATCACACCCCATAATTTCAAGCAAATTAGTTAAAAATGAGTATATATTTACGTTTTTTTTTTTAATCACACGGGTGTTTATAGCAGTTTACGTATATATTAATTAATTCTTTAAAGTTGTAGAACTGTTCGATCGAGTAAAAATTCAAATGGTATTAGTTCTTAAAATAACTTGAATTTATGAATTAATAAAACTTGCTTTTGCTCTTTTCAAGCCACCCAATTACTTAATGTGATTGTAAATCAACAATAAAAAAAGTCATAAGTTTGATTAATCTCGACCTCTAATAGAGGTAACTATTAAAGTTCTTACTGATTAATATTTTTAAGATTTTAATAGATTAATTGAAGTATACGTAAACTAGATTAGATACCTCAATCATTAAAACAACAAAAAAAAGTTGTTGGGCATCGATTATTAATTGGGTTTTGACTTAATATTGTATAAAAGTTACCTTTGACCCTAAAATTCTTCCTCGTGAAGCACTGCATGTGTGATTATTCTGGCATTCCAGAGCCCATAATCATAATTTTTTTTCTCATTTTTTTTTTCCAACGCATGTGACTGCATATTTTAAACCTGTTAAACATTTCAAGCCACAACGTGTCTTCTAATTTTCTGTCCAGCTAGCTCCTGCAAATAATTAACCTCCTCTGTTCTCATACTGCTACCATTATCATTCATTTTCAAATCGTTCCTGTTCTCCATGTTGATTATATTATCATAGTGCTTTAACAAAATGGGTAACATTCAAGAATCAAGATAATTGTTTCAGCAAGGAAATAAACTAATGAATGATTCAAGCTGAGAAGTAAGAGGGGATGAACAGAACAAGATGTTGTAAGCCATGACATTAGGACCAAGATAACTCTTAACAGAATCCCAATTTTCAGGCTCAAACTGAGCCAGTCATTTATGAATATAAAAACATAATAGAGTTCCAATTACTGATCTCACTTCAAAACTAATGGGAAAAAATCACATGGAAAATTAAGGAGGCCATGGTAGGTCACAATGCACGCAGTAACCATAAACAAAACATTATCTTTGCCTTTTAGGTGTTCTAAAGTAATGTTCTTCAGAATACATACATTTTAGCAAATCTTGGTAAATGTCACTGTACAAGGGGACAGTTGCCTTGCCCGAAAGCCTGCATTTACCATGGACGATTTTACTAATTCATGAACAAGATAATTTATTTGCCTTTTGGAAGACATAAAGGGATGTTTGGTTCAGAATGTTCGAGCCATGCATAATGGTAATTGTGATGGCACAATTAACCCCATCAAAAGGTTTTTTCAGAAATGAATGATTCATGCACCGTTTGATGAATTAATTATTTTTGTGAGAGGAAGGGAAGGGTAAAGTGCTTCATTTGGCAGTTTTAAAATGCATGCACCAGTAGGCATCTTATAAAGAGTTGCTCAACATCCATTGCAGATCCCCATGGACAACAGATTGGCTCTTGTTTCGGGGTTGATTCGGAATATATATGTTGATTCGTCTCAAGCTTCTATTTTGATTTTGGATGATTTTGTTATTACATACATGTATATGAGGTTCTATATACCTTCCCTTTTGTGACTTTATCTTTCTAGTAAAAATTAGAGGGAAAATGATAGAGTTATCGAAAAGTTTATACCGAATTTGTGCATCGAATGACGTAGTAAAATCCTGACCATTGATTAATATTAACTGATAATAAATCAACGGTCAGGATTTAGTCACGTCATTCTGTGCATAAATTCGGTGCACATCCGTCGGTAACTGTAGCATTACTCAAATTAGAGTTAACGACTTTTCCCCACCTAATAGTAGCGACTTTTTCACCTATAAACTTTTAAAATACCATTTTATTATCTAAATCTATATTCTAACAACGAATAAAGAGTAAACTCGGTCCAGACTGTTAAGACTTTTGAAGAGAGGATACCAATGAATTTTTTGATGGCAAAAAATTAGATTTAAATGGTTAGGATTGATCGAAATCTGACTTGAAAGGGGCAACTTCGTAAACCTTAATCGCTCGATTGTCGACAATGATGGGGTCAATGAGAGTAGAATTTGAAGAGTTTTTATGAGTATTGATCGAGAAAATGAATGATAATGATGTAAGGTCTCAATAATGTTAAAATAGAAAATAAAATAAAAATTTAAGTAATAAGATTTTTAAGTGAAAAAGTATTATTAAACTTAATAATGTGTGGAAAAAAGTTGTTTATTCTAAAAATTATATACAAATGGTTACTAATCAAGTAGTTAGGCTTAATTTGGGGTAGCTGTATTATCAAGTAGTATGAAAATTGGAGCCCGAATATGGCCTCAAAAACTTGGCAATAAAAGCCAAGTAGCAATACAATCCTGTCACATCACATTTCATAGTGTTTTCACTTAATTTCAACCATTCGTGTGAAAGCAACCCAGTCGACATTGTCACGATAGCACATAAATGGCCAACTCACTCACTCGGAAAGCAGTCAAAAGTGGAAATATAAAGAAGATTGCTCGTAAATCTTTGTCACAATTATTTCACACATGCTCTGCGACTCAATAAATGTACTGGGTTGAATTTTTTTTCTGAATCTCATTGTTTTGTGTAGCTCTTATACCACCCAAAATACCAAATCATTTAAACTCAAATACGTCTCAAAATATACAGAACTCATTTTTTTTTTTTTTTTTATTAGATAATAAATTTGAATTTACAAATCGAAGTACACAATCACAATTCACAAAGGAACAGTATTTTTCATGTACATTTATACATGGAGACAACTGTTTAGGGGCATTGTAAGTAATCAACTTCAACTTGCTCGTCAGGATGCCGCAGCTAATGGCGAAGCTTGCAGTGGCTTTGAGCGGTCTGGCTCGAAATTTTATACGTGACCGTACAATTCAACTTCATCACCACGGTTACTTTGATGCTCTTCAAAAGTTTGACCTTACCCTGAATCCTAGTATAAGTGCTCATATTCAATGCTCCAGAAATCAGGTCAGTCGTGAAGGTGGGAACGGCCATTAATTTCTTAGGAATTACATCCATGGAAACATTCAGTCGCAGGGTTCGTTTTGACTTGGACACTGCTGCAGGAATCCGCCCTTCGCCCACCACTATGCCACCGTAGTAAATAGTGCTGGTGCTGTTACCGAGTTTTATGGAAGCCACGTTAGGATTTTTCACAGAAACGTCAGCTACAAGTGTGATGTTCAGTCCGCTTGGAAGGCCACCATTAGTAATATTAGCAAACGCAATTTGCTTAATTGTAACGGAATTCACCTTGATATCTGGATCCTTGATCTGAAAAACAGTTAATATGAGTATGATTATTAAGGCTGTAATTGTTAAAAGAAGGGCAACACATCCCCAAAGCCAAAGCTTTCTTTGAGGCTTGCCCCTGGCTTCTTGTTTTTCATCACTGCGGAGTTGATGAGGAGACAAGGGCCTCATTGAGTCACTCCTCACGGTCATGTCGTTACCTTTATGAATGGCCATTGAAGGTGGATCTCTGAATTAACTAGTTTGTTCAGAGTATTGGGGGTGTTCAAATTATGTCCAAACTCTTTGACATATATATAAGAGCATAATAGAGTCGGGAGTCCTTTGCACGAGTTTCGCACCTTCTTCAAAATCTTGCTTAAAAATCAGATAGCTTGGATTTTAGTAATATTATAGAAAGCTTCTCTGAGTATATGAAAGATGTTTATGGATTCTACACTCTACTGATGAATACTGGAGAGCAAGGTGAAGTCAACTTCACCACAAGATCTTGGAATATGGCACGATTAGAAAGCTAGTTATTTAATTAATTTAGTCTTATCATATGGTTTTATTTTAAAGTCATATTTTTGGGTTCCTGTAAATTAAGTATTGAATTTTGCATGTTTTGTATCATGCGGGTTTATTTTATAGCGTTAACTACGGCTTCTCCAATGGTTTTGGATTATATTATATAATTTCATCGAATTTTACAAGTGACATTACTTTATGGCCGCGTTTGGTTGGGGGTAATGTGATATTATTAGAATTATGTCATCTTATATTATTGTCAAGTAATATAAGATTCCGGTAATCTTCAAATACCAATAATAGTTACTGTTGATAATATCAGAAATAATCTGATTACCTTTATTTTCTTAAGTATTATAAGATTATCAGGGTAATATTTTTTTTGTTATAATTTTATCTCTTATTAATAAAATTTTAGAACAATAATGCCCTTATTTTTAAATTTATTTACATGAATGTTGCTTTTCCTATTTCACCCAAATTAATTAACTTTTTAGACAAAATTACCCTTGAATTCAAAACAAATTGCAACCCACTCAAGCCACCACCCCCACCCACCTGCAGCCAACAACCACCGTCATGACCAGTCGCCTCCATCGGAAAGGCGCACGAAAGGCTGAAAATGGCTGTCGTGCGCCGATCTGGCCATTTCCGGCCAGATCTCTGGCTGGAAAAGGCCATAAGGCGTACAAAGGCCATTTCTGACCTTCCGTGCGCTGTTAGGTTGCCGGTGGCCGGCAGTGACTGGGTTTTGAGGGTGCTTTGTTGATTTTCCAAACTTTTATTATAGGGCTGTTTTTGCTAAGTTTTTAAATGCAGGGGGTTATAATGATCCAAATAATAATCAATATTAAAAAATAATATAATAATAATATTTAATTAGAGGACAATTCATTAATTTAAATAATATACCCACTAATTTATTCCAACTAACCAAATATATTTTCCTAAAGATTTCCAGTAATCTTCAAGGTAATCTAACTTTCTAGTAATCCAATATTCCCTGAACCAAACACACCCTATAGTATTATCTGTGATTTTCCTGATCAATAATGTTAAGTTTACAACCTTCTCTTACAACCCTCAACGTAGGAGCTTGTCTTTAGTTAGCTTGCAAATGGGCAGACATGAGTGACACATGACCCATACAAACAGATAAGACCCAATTTGCAAGTTGACCAATGACAAACAACCACCTCGAGGATTGTAAGAGAAGATTGTAGACCTAGCATTACTTTTTTCCTAATTGCAAATAGGAGACTGCTAGTTTACAGAATTTAGAACAATTTTGAATACGTCAATACTGTTCAATTATCATTTGCCTATTATACTTAGGATCAAACAACTTATTATTAATGAACAAATTAATAAACTTACAGAAAATGCTTACATTAAAAATAAAAGTTGGAGCACCTAAACACTGATTGAAGTTGGGTTTTCCTTATTGATCTTGTTGGACCAAAACAAGTATGGGCCTATAGAGATCCTACAAGCAGTCCAACTCTGTAGCCATAATTTAATTAGGCCAATGGGCTTGCTTAAATTTGTTAAGAACTATAAAAGAATACAATTTAAAATAAACTTATAAAAGCCAATAAGTTTACAAAGCTTTAAGCTTTTCCAGTTAACTTTGATGCTTTGTGATGAGGGTTTTATAACAGTAGAAAAAAGCTAACAGGGTGGAACCAGCCATATTGCTATCACATCTAACCTGTACCATTTATTTATCCCCTTCGATGGAAAACGCCTCTCAAGTGCAAAGCCTCTAAGAATTCCACCAATTCATATTCTATAATCTATGGTCTATCACAATCTCTTCAGGCCTAAGTTAACTGATTTCTTAATGGAGAAGTTTAGCCCCCATTAATATCTATCTATCAGAACTACAAGAAGACAGAAAATAAATTATATAGCAAGAACAACGATAGAATGAATAAAATAAGATCGATATGTATACAAAAATATTTAAAAAAAATTCAACTCTCAAATCAAAACTGAGTATAAGAAATAGGGGGGAAAAAAAAATTAGTTACAGACTAAATCCTGTGCAGCATGACTTGTTAAATTTAAAGTCATGGAACAACTCATCTCCGGGCTCTTCTTCTTCTTCACAAAATTAAACAAGTTCACTCTGCCATGCAATTCCGCATGGCTACTTAGCTTCAACATCCCAGAATTTATATCACTTGTCAAATTTGTATTATTCAACACCCCGTTTGATCCCACTTGAATATTAATCTTCATCGTCTTTGTCTCCCGAGCTCTCACCAGCCCCTCGCCGATCTTCATGTCACCAACTGTAACTATACCATACCACAGGCTCCCAGAGCCATTCTGGAATTTGAAAGAACCAAAGTTGTTGTTCTCCATCGTCAACTCAGCGACTAGCGTTGCATTAAACGAAGGCGAGGATGCGTTGCCATGAGTTAGACGGTTTACCATGACTGATTTTATTTCAAATTCAGGAGTCTTGGCACGCAAGAAAATTGATGCCAAAATTAAAACAATTGCACCCAGAGAGACGATTAGGACCAGAAAATACACGAGACACTTACTGCTCTTCTCTTTGCGGAAGGGTTTCCCTTGTTTAACTGCTGCTGCGTACTCTTCATCTCTTCTACGGGGTGCCGCACGCACGATTTGATAATTTTCTTCTTTCATGGTGATGAAATTTTTATTCCAGGTTTTGGTGTAAAGAGTCTGGAAGGTGTAAGGAGTTAATAAAAGGGGTTTGAGCGTTATGGTTTTGTATAAATCTATATAGGAAAGACATGACGAACCGTGTTGAATTGTGAGTGGGTTAGTGGGCGAGTGGACGAGTCAGTCTCGGTATGAGTCAGCGCCAGCCAAATTGATTTGTGTGGGGGGTCTTTTTACATTGGCAACATATTTTTATTAATTTATGTTCACAGAATGGCATGGAAGAGTTAGAATTTGATTTTGTTTTATTGTTATTGTTATTGTTTTTTAATCGAGGAAAGGAAGAGCAGACAAATTTTACTTGGTCATAATTTCTAGGTGTGTGACTTAATCGTTTTTAATTAATGTATTCTTGTGCATTAATAATGGAGTTTAAGAAATAAGATTTTTTACATAATTTATAATATATGATAGTCTCCTCAGCGTAGGCACCATTAAAAAGAGATTTGAGACATGGAACTTACTAGTTTCGAAGGAAAGTCTTACCTACTGTAACAAAACGAGTGACGATGACTGGGACTGAGTCGTGAGAAGACAAAGAACATGAAAGTCCCGGCACTTGCCACCAATCATGCAAGCTTACCTTAAAATGGAAAACTATTAATTTCATGAATATTCTTTAATTTCCTTTGGTAATGAACGACACATCCCTACGTATATTTTCACAAGAAGAATTAATTGAATTCGGTCCGAATATCAAAAATGGAATTCAATGTGGTGCTGGCCTGGCAGGACGGATGATTTGGCTTGTCTAATGCATATTGCTGAAATCCCCTTTATAGTTTCATCACGTAGCTGGACTTGTCCAGGTATTAAAGCAATATACCGCATAAAAGAAGTGGATTCCTAATAGTGCTTTTTCCTATTACTTGTTATTTATTATATAAACGAATTTTTTTTCACCCAAAAAATTTCAAAATACTATTTTTCCGCCCAAAGTTTATATTCTGTTAATATCCAAAATATACTTCACTTTCTCAACTGGCGTTCAGCGAGTTATCAAGAGCGAGAGTAAGAGGGTTTTGTAGGGTGAAGGTCGATGGATCAAATGGTGATTACTGCTAGGGCAAAAAATCGTCCTGGGCCCAAATAGGAAAACAGGACCACCGGTAAGGAAGAGACCAGGCCCAATCCCAAAGAGGCCCAAGCCAAATTAGTGCCATTTGATACAAGATATGGCCTGCCCAAACCATCTAGGCACGGGCCTCCCAGTTGCAGCTCGCCTCCTAGGCCAATAGGCGAGTTCAGAGTCCATGACTGCCATTGATCACTTTCCTGTTCCTGTTCAATCTCCTATTCGAAGTCACCTTCCTAATCAGAATCACTTTCCTATCCGGACACTAGAAAGACAGATTAACACAACCCTAATTCTTCTAGGGTTTGCATCAGAGTCACATTAGGACTCCTACTCCCATCAGGATTGGGAGACTAGACAGTCACTATATAAACAGAGGCCAACCCTCTCACAAAGGACACACTACATTACACCTTCACACCAGAAGCTCCTACTCGAGAGCTTTACATCACCGCCATAGTCACAGTCTCTGACTAGACTTCCGGTAACCTCTCTATCCCCTAGCCCTCACTATACTAGCCTCTTTCAGCCTTGCTGACTTGAGCGTCGGAGTGCCTACGGCAAACACCACCCCGGTATTTCTCGTTCGCTTCACTCATTTGTTTTTCTACGTGTGCAGGTGCAGCGGATCGCTAGTGGCCTCAACCTCACGGGATCAGACCCTCCTTCCGTACAGGTAGATTTTTACGTCTACAGTTTGGCGCCCACCGTGGGGCCTCTAGTAATCACTCGGCTTGACAAACCCTGCTGCATAGAGGAACTTTTCATGGCTGACAACTCCGATAACGCTAATCCCGGCCTCGAGGCCAAACTGGAAGCTCTAACCGCTCTCATGCAACATAACTTGGACAATGTGGCTGCATTGGAAGCTGAGAACAATGCGATCCGAATGGAAAATGCGTCCGTCAGGTCAGAAAACCAATCCCTCAAGGAGAAGGTAAGTCAATTCTATGACCTAGAGTTCCCGCCCGGCCAAGCACCCCTCAATCAGTTCCGCACCCCTGTTCTACCCATGCAACCTCTCCTTACGCCAGAGCCCCGACCCTCGGCCTCTGGCAAAAGGCCGTATCCCTTAAACCCGTCTACGGTCGACAATTCTGTCCTAATTCATGGAGATAAAGATATGCATGTAGAACACCAATCAGCTGATTCATCCCAACATCAAGACCAAGACGATCTGGTGGCAGAAAGCCCTCATCCATAAGACCAGCTCAATCTAACCATCCCAACACATACTCCACTCGGCTCGGCCTATCCTCGCGGGATGAATGGCCAAACTAAACCAACAGCACCCGAGCCCATCCATCCTGACCAACCAAATGACTATCAGAGGACTCCCATGACCATCCATGTAGGGCGAAACCCAGAACAGTTACCATGGGAGTCATCCAACCGGAAGGAATGACCGAAGATCTATGCTATCAGGGAACGCACGAAGGGACTCGTCAGACTACCCCAAAAGGGGTGACCCAACGGAATGTACCAAAGTTAAATGCAAAGGCCGACCCAATCATGCGGGATGACCTAGTGGTGTCCCATTCTCCTATGGAACAGGTACTAGCCAAGAGATTGGCCGATGTGGAAGCAGTGATGCGACGCATTCCAGGAATGCCGATCCCAACCAAGAAGAGCAGGCCCCATTGTTACGCAGATTCACCCTTCGTGGACTCGATCACCCTAACCGACATGCCCCAAAAGTTCACTATCCCCAACATGAAAATGTACGATGGCACAACCAATCTGGACGATCACATAGCCTCGTACAAGCAGCGGATGTTTACCGTCTCAATACCCCGACCGCTTAGGGAAGCTTGCATGTGCAAAAGTTTCGGTTTGAGCTTATCCGGCCCAGCACTACAGTGGTACACGAACCTCCCGAACGGATCCATCGATTCGTTCGCTCAACTCACTGACACGTTTGTGGAATAGTTCACCAGCAGCAAGAAACTTGAGAAGCTGTCAGCCGACTTGTATAGAGTATACCAGAGAAGGGACGAGCCATTAAGAGAGTATGTCAGTAGGTTTAACAAAGAGAAGATTTTCATCCCTGCATGCAACCCTAATACAGTCGTAGATACCTTTAGGAAGGGTCTCCTCTCGGACAGAGAGCTGTACAAAGAACTTACAATGCTGGGATGCACAAAAATGGAAGACGCCCTGGCCCGGGCAGTGATCCAAATCAGGTGGGAGGAGGATGAGATAAATCGAACGATTCACTCCAGATACAATTCAAGGTGGAATGATGGGAAACCAGAGCACAGGCCAGCGGAGCACCGCTACCAACACCTAGCATGCAATTCGAGCCGTATGATCGTCAACCAACAAGAACCGAGAGCAGACAGTTCAAATCGAACCGGTACAAAATACCGGAGTACAGCCTCAATGTCGAGCCAACCTAGGTGGTCGCGATTATGAAAGGAATGGGATCCACCGTCAAGTGGCAAGGCAAGCTCAATCCCGAGGCGAAGAGGGACAAGACCAAATGGTGTGAGTTCCACGGTGATCACGGGCACCACCGCAGACTACATCGCTCTACGACTGGAGGTCGTTGAACTTCTAAAGAGGGGACACCTCCGGGATCTGCTAACTGATAAGGGGAAGAACACCATCAACCATAAGAGTTCAAAAGAACCATCACCACCTCCGCAAGAACCTACACCGAAAGGTTTCTGTTCTCTCATCTCTGGAGGATCAGAGATCAGTGGGGTAAGTTACTCATCAACCAAGCGATATGCCAGAGCCAACCACCACCATGAAGTCCAGTCCATCCATCCGGCCTCACGATCGCACACTCATCAGGTAATTTAATTTGAAGATGACAAGCCGGTCACCATGACCGCTCCTCATCACCATGCCCTAGTCATCTCCCTACACGTAGATGGAGGCTCCTCAGCAGACATCTTATTCCTCGAAATAGTGAAGACTATGGGAGTGGAAGAGGCAAACATCAACAGGAGACCGATGCTACTAGTTGGTTTCAGCTCTGAGCGGAAGTACACTATCGGGGAAATCATCCTCCCTATCTACGTTGGAGGAGTGAACAAACAGACCATCTTTCTGGTAATCGACTGCCCCTCGCCATACAACATCATCTTGGGCCAACCTTGGATCCGCGATATGCAGGCAGTCCCATCTACCTTCTACCAGACGATCAGATTTTCAACCAAATAGGGGGCACGAGAGATCAAAGGTGATCCCAAAACTTCCAGGGATTGCTACAAGAATGCTTTCAAAGGCAGGGGTAATTCTTCGTAGCAATTACAGATTCATCCAACCCCACCAACCAAGCCAGATCAACCATCTATAGAAGAGTCGGATGAAGTACAGATACATCCGGACGATCCCAACAGAAAGATACATATAGGATCCCGCCTCAAGCCCGAGACAAGAGAAAAGCTGATAGAGTTCCTCAAACAGAACTAAGATTGTTTCGCCTAGTCGCACGCCGACATGACCGGAATCAGTCCAGAAGCAATGGTCCACCAGCTTAAGGTAGACCCAGATCACCCACCAGTGAAACAGAAGAGAAGGAAATTCGCACCAAAGCGTAACCGAATTGTCAACGAAGAGGTCGAGAAGCTACTGAGCAATCGTATGATCAAAGAAGTCCACTACCCTGAATGGCTAGCGAATGTCGTGGTTGTAAAGAAAAAGAATGGAAAATGGAGAGTATGCATTGACTTTACGGACTTGAACAAAGCCTGTCCCAAAGATTCCTTCCCACTCCCTCATATCGATATGATGGTCGATGCAACCGCAGGTCACGAGCTCCTTAGTTTTATGGATGCTTTCTCAGGTTACAACCAAATCTTGATGCATCCGGACGACCAAGAGAAGACAAGCTTCATCACGAAGAGGGGAACCTATTGCTATAAGGTGATGCCAT